TGAATAGAACGACGAGCAACGACAATAATCAGCTAGCAAAAGCTCAACTAGTGAGTCAGACGTTGTAACCACTGTTGGTTGTTGAAGGATTTGAAGCTTCAGGGCCAAAGTAATGTGCTTGATGCCTTATGTGGGTTTCCGGTCCGGTCTAATGAGGGATTCCCACGGTGTTTTGTGTATCCCCGTGCCTCTTCCGAGCCGAGGAATCCGACCTTCGCAGATCACAAAATCGTGCTGTCCTGGTTGGAAACGGCCACAAAGAAGTTTAGCCGCTCCAAGAGCCCCGTTCGCAGTCAGTATTAGTAAGTATTGGTATTAAGATTAACATTAAGACTACTAGTACTGCTAAAATCAACATAAGTATTGGTATTAAGACTAACATTAAGACTACTATTACTGCTAAAATCAACAAAAGTCCTAGTATTAAGATCAACCTTAAGACTACAAGTACTGTTAAAACCAAGATAACATTTTTGGTCTTCATGCCACTAGCCCCAATGGACGTGTCTTTCGTACCCGATGCACCGAGGCTCGTGACGCAGGCCGGGGGTCTCTTGGTCCTTGCTTGGTGTGGCTCGCAATGCGCGAACTGTCAAAGAAACTGTGCAGGGTTTAGGGTTTAGGGCAGCTGGGAAGGGCAATGAGCAATGGTGATGTTGACATTTACAGCCGCACCTCTCTGTGCAGGATGTGAAGATGTACATGCAGGTCATCGAGAGTCTCTTCTAAACATGGTAGGACAAGGGTGGTTCCAGCGCCCTGTCCATCTGCTTTTCCCTCTAGGAGATAGGTATTAGGAAAGATGGTCAGTCGCTTCGACTTAGCCCACTGCCAGGAAGATGCGTCTTTAATGGCTGATAGTACACGAACAGCTTCGTAGTAGGGGCTGAAGAGTAGTTCGTCCTGCAAAGCGCCTTCTCGGATTTTTGATTGGGTTGAGCACATATTGCCAAGAAAGTAGTTGAGTCGTGGCCTTGCCCTTTCCCCCAGCCTGTGAACCTAAGTTCGGAGTCTGGAGACTCTGAGAGACATGTATTTGTAATGTAGGGGCCTTAAGTTAGACGGTTCCGGGTTCCTTCATCATAATTACAGTATAACATACCCCAGCACCCTATTCTAATTNNTAATTATCAAGGCCCCTACAGTAGCCGTAGTACCCGTGCGATCAGAGCTGTGCCATGCAGCAAGGACAGCCTTTCCGGGCGACACCTTCAACGAAGAAGCAGCTCGGATGTGCGATCAGTGCTGTGTGAAGATTCCCCCCCAGCAGCCACAGACACTGGGAATTCTGGTTTCGAATGCCGGAGTCTTGGGTGGCATCAGCTGGACTTGTAGGCACATGGTTCTGCGCTTTGTTGGTGAGGTTCCTTCATGGTGGAAGGAGGTCACCAGCGTGAAGGATCGCAACACCTGGGCCGGTGCCTCAACCGTTGTAGGAGCATAGGAGCAGCTTTACTGGCATCCCCGAGGCCCTCGACCCCCCCCCCCCCCGTCTGCTTCCTTTTCTCGGAGTACCAAGGCTGTCTTTGACATGCACTGGTACACCGCCTGGGGCACGAAGGCCAGCTGCACTTGCTGCTTCTCGTTCTTCGTTGAGCTCTGGGTTGTCCGGCTCGGCTGATCGTCCGCAAACTTACAGGGTCAAGTGTCAGGGTTTAGGAAAGTTCACGGTATCACAGTGCATTGAATCATCTCAGGGTCAGTGTATCATAATACATCACAGTATACTTTCGCGAGCTGAAGTTTACGAAATGATATCGCACTAGATTGCAACAGCAGAAGATGTGCTCCACATCGCAGGCTGGCCTCTTGCCTGGCGATGCCGCAGTGCTCTGCAGCCAGGGGATTGACAAAATCCTGGAGGCAGCTTTTGGGGGCTCTTGGGGGTTTAGGGTTTAGGGTTTAGGGTTTAGGGGTTTGGGGTTTAGGGTTTAGGGTTTAGGGGGATTTTGGCACTTCCGAGGGTCAAGGATCAAGTCAACGGACCTAACCTACTGTAGGCCGAGGCCCAAAAAACACTGCCTCACTCCACGCCGCAACGCGTCCTGAAAGCCGCAACGACAATCAGCAGTGAGCCCACATTAACTTCCGCTATCCTGCCCCCGCAGAGCATGCACTTCCATGACTCTTTAATCCGCCGTCACTCTAAACCTAGCCAGAGCTGGCCCCCAGGTGCTGAGTCCCGGAATCGTCGGATTTGCGGAGAGCTTCAAGGCCCAAGCCGAGCGCATCGGGGTCGATCTCTGCAGGTCCTACTTGTGTCGGTTAATATAGGGGCCTTCATAATTAATACCTATACTATTTTGGGGGTTCTTTATTATATTTATAGTATAATGGGCCCCCAAACCCTAGTCTAAGTAAGAAGGCCCCTATATTATGGTTGCCTCGCCTTAGCATGGTCGTAGGACATAGAAATAGGCTTGTTGGTGAGGAAAGGGGTGATAGCAACGTCTTCTGCTTGCTTGTTGGAATGAGGCCATGCCTTCAACTGTGTACAGCTATCTCGAGGGCGATGGGGTAGAAAGGTTCTTGTTGGAAGCTGAAGACCAGGCAAGATTCGGGTAGTCCTCGAAACCGTGGACTTTGCTCTGCTGTAGTACTCTGTGTTGGCGGTAACAAAAGTAAGAATGTGGACGAGGAGGTCGGAGGGTGAAACTCCGGCTCCTTGTGGTCAGTCTCCGCTTGCGGGCTTGCGGTTCCGAGCGTTGGGCCCTTGGATGCCTTGGATCATTCGAACGGTGTTGTGGGGTGTTAGGGTGTCAGAGCGCAAGGTTGTCTACATGAAGAAAAGAAGATGGCGTGCCGCTGTGCCGCTTGCGTTTCTGCTGGCTGTTGCTATCTGGACTGCAGCGGACACCAGTCGCCGCGGACGCTCCAGCAGAACAGTTGTTGCAATGAGTGTTGTTTCTTTGACTGCGACCTGGTGCTGTCGGATCCAAAGGCAGCGAACCTTGTAAGTTGCCAACTGCAACAATCGACAGCCCTACGAGAAGGGCTGACTGAAACGACCGCCGACTACTGTCATCGGGCTATAGACCGTTTGCCATATTGGCTTTTGATCGTTAATTGTTCACAAACCTCCCGCTCCCCGCAGGAAAATTTTGATGGCCAGCGAGCCACCTCGGCCTCCTGGCTTGCTATGAGCTTTAGGGCCTTAGGGTCATCGGCAGAGCTCCAGGCGATTTCGATTTTGATGAGGTTGGGGGTGTGCAGCTACGTGGAATCTTCCGAATCTCGTTGTCGTCATAAATGCGTTTAGCACCGTCTCTTCAAGTCATCTCCGTACGTTCACTCCCAACAGTGAACTTAGTGAACTTGAGAATCTGCCTGAAAGCAGCAGCCTCCTTGGAAGCACCCCGAACCCTCAAACTCGAAGATGCTCGAAGCCTCCCCGGTCGCGTGGGCGCTTCTGGAGGAGTTCTCAGCAAGCACGAATGCAGATGCTCTTGCAGCTTGGCAGATCCAGAGGTCTCGGATTCTTTGTACCGGGCTTGGGATTTCTGTAAGCAGGAGAGGATGACGGTGTGACAAAGCGAGGTTTTCGCGGCCTGCAGAGCTGAGAGAAAGGTGCTGATCATTGATCGACTTCCACCGCCAACCCGGCCCCTCAGCAAAGGCTGCTTTCTGGCCTGTAGGCTGGATGGAAAGAGCCCCGTAGCAACGCCGCAGCCCTGACCCTAAACCCGCCTAAAGACAATGACCTCAGCCTGCAGTCCTCGCCGAGGTGGCCTGCAGCGACGTCGCGATTACCAAGGCTTTCATGGAGAAGCAGGCGGGCAGAACCTTTCATTCATGCCCCGAATCCGAAAGAGCTGCAATTCCCCACGCCGGGAAACACTCAATCATTTAGCAATCGAAGAGCCTAAATCCAGAGTCCAGGATGGAGCATTGCCGGGCCAAGCCCAGAGGCCCAGCTTCGGATATGGGTATCACAAATGTATACACATGTAACTACATTCCAGGCTCTCTAGGCCTCGCCGCCACTAGGCAGATAGATTCCTTGAGAGGGGTGTTTTGTCGTGAAGCATATCTCCGCCCCGAAGCTGTGGTATAGATGAAACTTGAGGTCTCTTTGCAACAGTTTTCACAGCACACGAACGTATGCAAAGTCAAATTACAAAGCCAGCGTTTTGGGGATTTACTTAGGTTCGTCGGAACCTGTACGAGTCTTCACACCGAAATATTCCAAGCACATCTGGTGCATTGTTCTTCTCAAGCCCTTGCCCTCAAGACCAACACCACACAGCAAAGCTGCTGCAAAACGAAGAGAAGGCAGCGAGACGTAGCTCGTAATCCTCACTGCCAGAACAGAAACTAAAGACCCTACACAACCCCAAGCCCTAAATCCTAAGACCCTATGCTGTCTAGCTTCCAAAAGTCCTGATTAAACCTGTCCAAGGTCGTGGTCATGAAGAAGCTCGAAAGAAAAAGAGAAGCCCGGAATCAGGGTCAAGTTTAGGGCTTGGCTTGCGAAGGTTTGTAGACGTTTTCGTGATTCTTTCTCTATATTTGGGTTCTGTCGAGTTTGGAGCTTATGTTTTAAGTGACATGCCTTGGGACTTGGAGCTGGGCTTCAATGTTTCGGGTTTCGGGTTGCGTAACCTACCCGACAGCACATTCTTGTCAGAGTGTTTGTGAATCTCTCCAGCTACAAACTCGGCCAAAGTTATGCTGAGACTTGCAGAAGGGAGGTTTCTAGTGATTCTAGTGATCATGCAGGGTGATGGCGAGGTCTCGCCTCCAAGCCCATGAGGAGTGATAAATCCCGATAGGGTTTAGGGTTTAGGGTTTAGGGTTTAGGGTTTAGGGTTTAGGGTTTAGGGTTTAGGGGTTTAGGGTTTAGGGTTTAGGGTTCAACAGCCCGACAGCCCCAAACCTCACTTGCAAAACATGTAGTCCTTCACAGCGGCCCGAAGCATATCCGAGCTGCTCAGGCCAAACCCCGAAGCCCTTGAGCTGCTAAGCACCCTCAACTGGGCCGGAAGCTCATCCGAGGCAGCACGGAATCAATCCGTACTTCTGGTCTCTGAAGATGCCCTACGGCCGGGGGCCTCAGAAGTTAGGCCCAAAGCCAAAGCTGTGCTTGGGGTTAAGTCAGGAGCAATCTTCACGTTTGCCGAGTCTTGTTCTTCAGCTCGTGGGTTGCGGCTGCAAGCTCTGCAAGTAGTCGCAAGACACCACCGCCAGACACATACAGATCCATTGCGCCTCCATCGTCTGCAGCACCATCGTGCTTGCCAGTTATGGCCAAGCACTACTCGTTCCTTCAGAGATACTACAAGGGTAATTATAAGGGCCCCCGAAACTTTGGCTGTGCTGCCTGGTTGCAGGTCCTCCCTTCGAAGGGGGATGGAGCTTGAAGAAGGTGCACTGGCAGGGGGGGGGGCAGGTTGAAATTGAGGCCTAAGCATTTATATGGTGAATAAGCTACACAAACCATAGTAGTATTTCCTACTATAAAGATCATACTTTCTACCATCTAAGGGCCATAAAAGGGGGTGGCTTTCTGCAATTAAAATGAAAAGGGCAAAGCCCAAGGCCGGACACCGAGTCTGTGCCGACGCGCAATCGGGCTTGTTTAAAAAGGCATGTTCGCAAACTCTCGCGCGCATGGCAGCCGTAAAAGGCCGGACACCGAAGACCCGCGGCTGCTTGAAACTCCGCTCTTGTGGTACTTGGGGCTTTGGGTTCGGGAGTCTCTTCCGAGTCTGGCACATCATCTCTTATAGAAGCCCTGAAAGTGTAACCCTTAAAAGTAACCCTTTTTGTTAGCCCTTGCTGCCAGATCTACGGGCTGCAAGAAACGCCGCGCTACCCGTGCGAACTGGGAGCAGGCACGACATGCTTCAAGGATTGATCCCTCCACAAAAGTTGTGCAACATCAGGACTGACATGTGCCCTGCACGCTGCACAGCTGACCCCGGAAAATCACCATGATCCCTCTTGTATGGCGCTTAAATCCCAAGTGCGTCTTAGTCTCTCCGGAGCCTCGTGGTTCCTGAAGTCAGGCGTGAAGTTTCCGGCCGGTGACGTGCCTTGCTTCGCAGGCGACTGCTCCTTGTCCCGAAGAGGGCGGCTGAATCTTTTTCCTAAACCCTAAAACCCTAAACCCTAAACCCTAAACCCTAAACCCTAAACCCTGAACCCTGAAGCCATGAAGCCTGAACCCAAGGTTGATGAGTCCCTCGACGAAGCGCGCGCGCACCGCCGAAGTTTTATCTGGCCTCCTTTGCACTTTCTGTTGGAAGGTGTGACGTTTTTGCGTCCAGCTTTGGCGGGCCTCGTTCAATTTAGTGCGAATCCCTTTTGCTATGGGTGCACCCGAAGAGATGCAGCTATGGCATAGCATGGGCTCTCCATTTGTGCCAAGTTGTGAATCGGCCTTGGCGATGGCGTGTGCGTAGAACTAGCACAGGGCTGAGAATGCCTGCTGGGAATGCGTGACATCTGCGTAGAACTTGTGCGAGATGGATTGTAGTCTGCAGTGATGGCTCAGTCACAGCACAAGATGCTTGTCATGTTGCCCTGCTCGGGCATTCCGGCTCTTCCAACAGAGAAGCGGCCGCCCTGACCGTAGTTAGACTTGTTGAGGCCGTGCCAGTGCCAGGTGTCAGAAACCCTAAACCCTAAACCCTCACTTTTTCCAGCACTCTTTCCGAAGCACAGGGCAGGGTTCGACCGGGTTCTGCGTGCGCTGGACCTGGCCAGACTCCGGCTCCGACTTCATCGCAAGAATGAGCAGAAAAGATAACCGCGGTAGCAAACCCTAACCCTCCAGGTACCTACTATATAGGGGCTTAGGGGCGCTAGTACCCTATATAGTAGGTACCTGGGGGTTGGGGAAACATAACTCTTTGTCCTTCTGTCGCATTGCGTAGCATTGAACATGCCGTGGCGCTCTCAGAAACCCGGTCGATAGAGCCTGTCGAGGCGTAGTGGCAGCAGTAGTCATGACGGTAGCGGTGCTGCTGGTAGTTGGGGCCGTCGTCGTCATAGTACTGGTAGTAATAGTCGTCATCGTTATCGTCGTAGTCGAAATAGTAGAATGGAGGGAGCGGAAAAACCGTCGCTCTTGTAACATGACAGGAAGGCTGAAAGACCCTCAACTATTATGATTAGGTCTGTTACTACTACGTGGCCTGTGCTGATGAAGGGAGTAGAAGGAACGTGATCCCCCCCGACGGGATCCAGCACTTCGGTGTTTGCACGACCATCTCCTTGCAGACTCCCTGAGGGGGCTTTTGTAGACCTCAAATCCGAACCCCAGCCTAGTTAGGTCTCCTTTGGTGGGCCTGGCAGCTGTGGGTTTCGGCGATGCATGTCCGGGAGAAGGCGGACATGAGAGACGGCTTTTGGGCGAGGGTCAGTGACGGAGGCAGTGCGACCCAACCTCTGGTTCTCATGGTGGTAAACGTTGCATATGTGGCAAGCATAGATACAAGACGCAAGCATGCGTCAGGGTCATCACTTTGTAAGCCTCAGCCTCCAGCCCCAAGCCCTAAACTCTCAACCCGAAGCCCTAAACCCTACCGTAAGCCCTAAAACTCAACCCCCCCCCCAGCCCTAACCCTGAACCTTAAGCCCCTGCAGCATGAGAAGGCGCTCTCCTCCCGGCATCACGTGTTGCTCCACTCGGCCGTAAGAGCTCTGGGGCAGCTGGTGCGGATGCCCAGATGTGGCACCTGCAGGGTTTAGGGGTTTAGGGTTTAGGGTTTAGGGCTCAGGGGTTTCGGGGTTTAGGGGGCTCGGGTCCAGGGTTTTTGGGTTTCGGGTTTAGGGGTTTAGTTCCGAGATTGAGGGTTTGGGAGATGTAGGGCTTAGGATTCAGGGGTTGAGTTCAGAGGTTAAGGGTTCAGAGGTTTAGGGTTTAGGGTTCAGGGTGGTTGTGGTTGTGGTTGTGGTGGTGGTTGTGGTTGTGCCTGTGCTTGTGGTTGCTGCTGTTCCCGTTGCCGTGGTTGTGGTTGCGGTTGTGGCTGTGGCTGTTACTGCTGTTGTTGTTGGCAGGTATCAGTACTGTACTGTTTGCGAGTAGTATAAGGCAGCTTACGGTTTGGGTCTGGAGCCAGCCACTGTAGCAGTAGGTATGAATGACGCTGCTGTGGGTGCGCAGGTCCTCTGCGATAAAAGCAGCACCTACCAGCTTCCAGATTCTTCAAGAACGAACGGCCATGCAAAGCCTTCACAAAAGTGCCCAAGAGGGTAGTGTTGCGTAGAAAAGCTAATATGATGTAATATATAGTAGAACATAATATAATATAACAGAACATAATATAATATAATATAAAGTATAAAAATACAGTATAATATAAAATATAATATGTATATATATATATATATAATATACAATATATATCTGGTTATCCAGATGCCGTGGACTCAAGAGCCGATACGTCGCAGATCGCGCCGTCAATCTATTTGCTACTCCGACGTCCCATGGTCTGAAGCTACTTGGGGTTCCTTACTATAACTATAGTACATAATACCCCAAAACCCTATTCTGTTTATTAACAAGCCTTACTATAACTATAGTATAATATACCCCAAAACCCTATTCTATTTATTAACAAGCTACTTCTGCCAGGACATCATCCCCCCGGAGACGCTGCGCTCGGAGTTTTTCCTGCGGTGGCGCCTGCAGGCGTGGCTTTCAGTTTTGGACAGGAGCCCTGCTGGGGTCTCCATGAGGGTTTGGGGTTGCAGAGACTTCCGAATCGTGCAACAGGATACATGAGGCCTCAACCCTAGCCAACAGCCTTTGCGAACCGAGAAGAAAACAAAAGAATGCCCCAAACCCCTTGACAGGTGCAGCAGGAGCGGCGCAGGAAGGCTGAACGCATGGTCAGCTCAGATGCAGGTGCGGTCGTGACGGTGCAGGCTTCGGGTTCAAGCCCCATAGAGGTCGCAGTCAGTCAAGCCTTGTCCAAGGCTGCAAGACTTCCACATGTCCGACCAGCCTCGAAAGACGAACCCGATGCCATGAGCTCCGAAGCCCCAAGCACCCAGATCCTTGGAAATCGGTATCAGGAAACCGGGAACTCGGGAACGCCGTAAACCCTAAACCGCGGTTTACAGTGCCATCGTCTTTTTGAGCAGACCCGCCGAGATCAACATCGGTCGTAGCACCCGCGATCACGCTAGCAGAAGGGTAATTTCTAACAGCAGAGCAATATTTTGAAGATATGCTTCGAGTTCTAGTCGCCCTAAACCTAGTCGCCCTAAACCAAGAAAACCCTACACCCCAAGCCCCAAAGGCCCTACATCCTACACCCCGATGCCCAAGCCCTGAACCCCAAGCCCTGGTGCAAGCTATGGTGTAGACACATGGCATACTGCCTCAGGCAAGCTGGCTTTCTAACTTCGAGATTCTAGCAGGAGGAAAGAGGCGATCCAACAAAAAAATGAACCGGTGAACCCCTAAACGTTGAACCCTAAATTTAGAACCCTAAACCCAGATACAATTGGATGTTGAACCCTAAGTTTTGAACCCTAAACCTCGAACCCTAAAGCCAGATCCCTGAATGGTGGTCACGCCCAGGTCGTCTGCGACGTGACCTCTGCTCCCTTGGCCGTCAGGCATCGGCGAAGGAGAGCTCGCCAGGATGAGAAGAAAAGGTTCGGGGTTTCGGGTGGTTTAGTGGGCTTTGGGGCTTTGATTTTCAGGGTTTTAGGGTTTGAGGTTTGGGGTTTCGGGTTTGGGGTTCAGGGTTTCGGGTTTGAGGTTTAGGGCTTTGGGGCTTCCGGTTTGAGGCCGAGGGTTTCGGGTGGTTTGAGGCTCAGGGTTCAGTGGGTTTTGGGGCTTCCGGTTTGAGGGGCAGGGTCTCGGGATGGTAGAGGGTTTCGGGTTTTGGTGTTGTTCAGGGTTTTGTTTTGGGGCTTTTCCAGCTTTCGGTTTGAGGTTGAGCATTTGGGGTGGCTTAGGGTTGAGGGTGTAGGGTTTTGGGGGTTTGAGGTTCAGGGTTTGTAGGATTGTAGGGTTGGAGGTCTGGGCGTTCACGGTTTAGGGTTTGGGCTTTGAGTCTTAGTGTAGTGTTTTTGGGACTTGAGGGTGTGGTGTGAGGTGTAAAGTTTGGAGTTGAGGCTAAGGGTTTCGGGGTTGAGGTTTAGGGTTTAGTTCGGGTTTGAGGTCGAGGGTGTGTAGGGTTTGAGGAGTAGTGACTTCGGGGTTGAGGTGCATTAATCTAAGGACTTTAGGAGGGGACCCCTAATAGGGACCCTTAATCCCATTACCTTAAAAATAACCATTGCCTAGTCCTTGTACACCCCTTATATAGCCAGGTAGTCTCCATGTTAACCCCAATAACCTACAAGGGTCCCTATTAAGGGTCCCTCCTAAAGCCCTTAGATTTAGTTGCTTTAGTTTGGATAATGTAATATAACTATAATAAGGACCCCCCCCCCCCCAAGCAAAAAATAATATAACTATAATCAGGAACCCCCAAAATAATATAGGCAAGTCTTAACGCCCCTGGATACAGCTGCAAAGCCATCCTTCCAGTTGTCCTTCACCGATGGCTTTTACTTAGGGTTTAGGGTTTAGGGTTTAGGGTTTAGGGTTTAGGGTTTAGGGTTTAGGGTTTAGGGTTTAGGGTTTTAGGGTTTTAGGGTTTAAGGCCACAAATGACAAACCAGAACCTTGAAGGTTGGACTTTCCATTCTATTGGATAGTTCTCTAAATTAGGTCCCTTTTTAGGTCCCCAATATAGTACGGCACCCTTATAAAAAAGGATTTAAAAAGGGACCCTAATTTAGACAACCCTTGCGAATTGTGAGTCCCGCATAGCTTCCCGCAGCAGAAGAGCCTGCAAAGTAGACTGCTGAACCCGTAGCCCTAAGCCCTAAATCTAAAATTCGATTATTATCATTCCCCGATAGCTTGCCGTCGAAAATGTGGCGAAGTGGAGCGACGTGGAGTCTCCCACCAGACGGCCCCGAAAAGGAACAAGTTGACGGACAACGGAACGAAGAACCAGTGAGCCATACCACAAAAACCCGTCCGGCCCGATCCCCAAGGGCTAACAATCTTGAAGCTCCCATCCCCAGCTTCCGAAACTTTTTTAAAGTACCCCGAAGTTCACAACCGCCAAAGTCAACGTGGCATGAGCCGAAGGAGCTCCTCTCGTCTTCCTTTGTGGGCCCGCAGGTTCGTGCCGGGTGGCTGTACATCGCGTATCGTGGACCCTCTAGAACGAAGCGTTTGGAGTTCTAAAGCCCTGAAGCTGAGTTCGAGGCTTCACTATACTGCCAGGCGCAGCTTTCCCGACTCTCCGTCGTTGTTGACGAACTCCTGGACAAGCTGGATGTGCCCACTTGGGGGTTGGTCTGGAGTAGGATTCCACTCTATGGATCCAGGAATACAACCCAGTCTAGAACACAGCCTTTCCGTTTTGCAGAGGGAAGGTGCAAAGTTTGCATCAGTCCTTGTTACTGGAAGCAAGCTTGGCTTGCGTCAAACAAGAATTCCATCACAAGCTCCAGCAGGAAGGATTGTCGTGGGAGTCCGCCCGTCCTCTTAAAGCAGTCAAAGGAAAGGTGAAGGTTTGTGCCTGTCTGCATTCTGCATCACCGCCCACATGTCGGAAAGGTGCAGTCCTTGATTGTGTGGGGGCCGTGCCCACCCCAAGCAAGATCCGAGCAAACCCTAAACCCTAAACCCCAAACCCACCAGAAGCAGACGGTGGCCATGACGAGCAACACGCTCCAGCCAAGCTGAAAGCCTAGTGAAGACTCCTCAGCTTTCACATGAGATTGCCGAGCCGCCTTGACGATTGAAGATGCATGTGGGGGTCTCCGAAAATTAGGGTACCTTATTTTGGGGTCCTTATAATAAGGATCCTATTATTTAGGGTACTATATTAGGGCCCCCTATTTTCGGAAACTCCCATGTTGCCTCGCCTCGTGGCTGAGTCGCACGGGTTGAAAGAAGTGTTTGGATGGATTCCTGCTTGTAGTGCGGGCATGGACACATGGAGCCGCAATGATGAGCATGACGCTCCAGCCAAGCTGAAGCAGTTGTGAAGATTCGCAGACTTCCACATGAGATTGCTGAGCGACAGCTTCATTCTTCATGCCCAGATTGCCTGCCGTGTGTTTGATGTGACATCGCTTGAAGGGAGTGCTTCAGAGAGGTGCGGCCTTTGCTTGTGTGCGCCCTCTGTCCCAGTCTTGTGCATCCTTGGCTGTGTCAATGCGCTGCAGGTGGAAAAAGCTTCTCAAAAAACAGGCAACAACCTAAATCCGTCAGCCTTAGAATCCCCAAACCTAGATCTCAATCGTTGGCAAGTGATTCCAACACCAATACTGATGCTAATACTACTATAGACTATACTACTAGTGATGCTGATACCTGTACCAATACTGATGCTGATTCTAATTCCGATACTCAGACTCAGACTCATACTAATCCTAATTGATTCCATTGAGAAGGTACGTCGTGCTGCTGCGCTGGCCCGGCCCTTTGTGTCTGGCTCGCTTGAGGGTTGATACTTGCCCCAGGCTTGGGGCTTAGGAGTTTCATCCCCGCAAACATATCCCATTGTGGCTTTATCATGGTCTTATTTTTCGACAACTCAGTTCAGGGCTTGCTGGCGTCGGGAAGTCCCCCGGGGCCCCTCAGCCAGCAATTCATTGGCGCTGTGCGTCGAGGCAGCTGCCGCAGCCCCGCGATCGAGCCTCCGCCATCGAGGTGCACATGTCATTGTCTGTATCATAATGTTCGTGGTTGCCCGGATGATGTGCTTACGGCTTTGGGCATATTGTACCAAAGCAGTGCCGGGCCTATAAGGGGATATTGACACTAAGCATTCAGACCTCCCCATGCATGATAATGTCTGGCGATGGTGGTCGTCCGCATGTTCAGACATAGAATTCCGAATGAACATGGCAAACTTAGTCATCCGGGCGCATTGTCGTACTGGGCCAGCTGCACAGCCACAACTCTTAGTCATAATGATTGCCAGTTTCGCAAATCCACGTAGGAACCGTAGCAAATTTCCCAAGTCCAGCACTATCACGAATACTGATGAATTCAATGACACGACTGGCGACACTCAAAGATGGCGGCAATGAAGAGGAGCAAGTGCAAATTTAAACCCAACTCCGCGGAAGTGGCCAATCAGGCTCATTCAGTGTCTAAGGCCAGGTGCATAGGTCCAGTCATGCACAAAGAGCATGAGCAGCACGAAGAGGTATTGCTCACACAGGATGCAAGCATCGGAAGCAATGACGAGCTAAAGCTGAGATTAAGCATAGCAAACACAAAGTACAAACTCACGCCGCGCCTCAGGCAACGATGATGTTCTGGACCAGGCTGGCAGGGAGGGAACGAGCAGGTGGCAGTGTCTCGGTGAGAGGCGGGACACGCAGATGTCAGAGGTGGCCGCTTCTGAATCCTAAGCCCGTTGTCTTGAAGACAAAACCTTCACCCTCCGCCTTAACTTGAGACACTAGACCCCCAAACAAGACCTTGAATTTCAATCCTACATCCCCAATCCCTGAATCACTGAAACGCCAGAACCCTGAACCCCAAAACCCCTAAACCCTAAAATCCTAAACCATGACATCCCAGACCCTAAGCCCACCAACTACACCCTGATACCCTGAAGCCCTTAACCCTGCACCCCTTACCCCTAAAGCCTTCACCCTAAACCCTAAACCCTAAACCCAAAACCCTAAACCCTAAACCCTAAAACCTAAACCCTTACCCCTAATCATTCGCTCGCCGGCGCCAGCTTGGCTTGGAGGCCACAGAGTGCCGGAACTTGCGCTTTGGGTCCCCGTAGCTCCAGATAAACAAAGGCGAGTAAATACATAAGTAAACGCATATTCAATAAATACATGTACATGTATATGCATATAAATATATATATATATATATATATATATTTTTTTATTATTTGTTTATAGAAATACATGAAGATTTTTGTGAAGAGTGAATGAAAAGTTGATGGATATGACATAAACAAACGAAAAGTGTTTATGTATATATATATATATAATACACACGCATATATTAGACTCGTAGATTAGGTTGGGTTAGATTTGGTCTCATGAGATTAGATGCATACATATTTATGGACCCCCCCCTTTGGGCAAGACGGGCTTTTCGGGTTTGTAGGGTTTCGGGCTAAGGGTTTTGGTTTAATATTCTAGGGCCCCGCCAACAGAGAAGAAGGCATGTGGACCTATACAAGTTTAATGATCCATCTTCAGAGATGGCTTTGCACTGCGTGCGCCTTAAACAAAAGTACCATTGGGTGCGAGGAGCTTCTGAAAACTGTACAAACTGACCACCCACAGTGACTTGTTGCCAATCTGGCTCCTCCCTGGCCCTGGCCTTTCTTTGTGAGCCTCCGCGTTGGAGCACCCGACCATCTCGGCTTCGCATCCATGGGCAGCGAGCCCTGGCCGGATGCTGAAGCCCATCGATGCCTTGTACTGCACTACAATCGGGGCCACGCGGAAGAATTGGCAGCTTGCCATTCTCCTGCATCTCGGACTGAGTTGGTAAGCACCGTTGAGGGCGGCCCGTTCTTTGTAACCTTGCAACCAAGTGCCACGGCAGTCCTCTGCAGCGACGGCTGAGAATCTGCATTGTATGCAGCTCTGCTGTGTTCTACCGCGAGAAGTGGAAACCTAGAGACCTGGAATCACCTAGAGCTGATGCCTGAGGCTTTAGTATTACCCTACTGACATCCAGCAAACGCGTCGTCGACTGACCCTAAACCCTAAACCTTAAACCGAGGTT